CCTCTCCTGGCATGGGCAGCTCCTTATCTCTGTTCCTCACCTCCGCTTGTGGTGGTCCGAACCCACCCACAAGATAGGTGACGGAACAACTGCTAGCCACTCGCAAGAGCTGTTGCCCTCCGCTCATGCTTTTGCAGCGCTGCTCTTTCGACGTCTTCCATCTGTCCTCAGTGAAGGCTTCATACATGCCTTGCCTAGGTCACATGGCGGATCCCGAATGGCCTCAGGACTATGAATCCCTATGTGCCGCTTCCTCAGATCGACAGCCTAATTCTGGGACCACGACAGCCCACCGTTGCCCGACTGCCAGGAGGCGAGTCGGTTCGCTGTCGCCTCAGCTCTGTCACCAGTGCTGCCTGTGCCTGTACTTCCCCTGGCTGCGCCGACTCACCACGACTCTGGGGATGCTCGGCCGGTGTGCGCCCCACTTGGCCGTTCGAAGGCACTGGCGCTGTCTCGTTGGATAACCCGTGGCAGGGACCTCGAAGTATAGCCTTTTGCTGCTGCCTGTGTCGTGCTGACTGTGGTGCCTTCATCTATCCGCCTGCCGTGGTAGACTGGGCTCTCAGTCTTTAGCTAGGGACATTCGACACTCTTGTAAACCTCTTGGCGTCCAAGCATAGACCTTCAGTGTCCTTGGGCCTTGGTGCCCGCGGCCCACATGTGCTCCCCGCCGCATTTGGGGATAAGGCTTGTGTTCCTCTTTCAGCTGGGATTCTCCCATCCCGGTGGCAAATTACATGCCTGCTGTGGTCGATAGAAGCAGTCTCTGTTGTAACTGCTCAGTGCCTCTGTTGCTTCGCAGCTGCGTCAGTTCTACGCTGGACCGATGCAGCAAGTCATGGACTGGGGTCGTGGCATCAGTGGCCTGCAAGGCTATCCGCATCTCCCGCTGCGCGAGGTGGATTCCTCTTCTGTTTGCGGCCCACATCTTGTGTAAGTGGGGTGGTGTTGCAGGCGTGTCTTCAGCACTGGCAGGCTGTCCACACCTCAAGTGGTATCCGACAGTTCGTCTTGCCTGCCAATCCGGCGATGCCCTTTCTCAGGGGTGGCCACATGTCTGGCTTCACACTGATGAGTCCTCAACCGACCACCTGCTTTGTGTGCCGTCAGACGCCGGTCAAAACGGGACGTCGACTTAGTCGTCTTCTTGTTACGGCTTGGGCCTCAGAGATTCCGTCTCGTGCCGTCGCGGCCCCACTCTTTGCTCTTAGGTCTGCTGGCCAGCATAAGTAAACCACCGGTTTGGTTTTAGATGGTGTGGGCTGACAGTAGCAGGCTCTCCGTGTCAGAATCAGGGCATGCTTGGCGCTTTTCTGCCTCGACCGCACTGCCGTGCCTGCGTAAGGCACTGTTTTCCACTGGCTTCAAGTGGTCGAGTGCTGCATAACGCCTTTTGCCTTGTAGATCCTTTGCGGCCAGAGCCCTGCCATCCACGTCGCAGGCTTGTTGATCCAGGCAGGCGCCTGGCATGTCGTCTACTCATCCCGATGTATTTTCAGGTCTCCACTGGGTGGGGTTCCATGGACACCAACCGATCTGGCTGTGGAACCCCGGATCTCAAGAAAGCCAGACTGGGGGTGGTGCCCGAGTTGCATGCGGCTGCCTCGGGTCAGCCTTGGCATCACTCCCGGGGCCAGGATGTCACGGACCTTGTGCTGAAATTTTTTGAAACAGGACAGTACAGTGTACTTCTTCGTCAAGCCAGGAGCCCAGGGACTCCTGCCGACCCTCTTCAACACGTCCGACAAATGGAACCATGTCCAGCGGAGGAATCACTCCGGACTGTGCTTCCAAAAGCCCTGCTAATCGAGTTGATTCAAAGGTGGGGAACTGTCAGAACAGCGAGGAGGCGCTTCAGGCAGCGAAGCACATGGCACACATCGCTGCCGAGGGCCTGTGGAAGACCTTCGTGTGGGACCCTCAGACCGAGGCCCTCGAGGAAGTGTCCAATGGACGTACGTGGACCACAGAGGCCCTTATCGCGGGAGACGATTCCACCTGTGCTATGGATTCTGCTGCTGCTCCGCTCAAGCCGGAAATCCGTTCTAATCCATCCTTTGACCTTGCAAGTTGGCGTTTTGCCGATGGGCCCACCGGCCTCTCGCAGGCCTTTGGCCTATGTGGATGGATCCTGTTCGGCAAAGCTGTACACCAGGCCTACTCAAGCACTTGTGGAAACGCATCATAAAGGATCTTGCTTCCGCTGTGTACTTGCGAGGTGGCCTCTTCTCAGCGGCGATATGTACAGGCTGCCCATGCTGCCACACTGCTCCGGTTCATCTTATCCCAACTTGAGAGCTCCGACGGTGCAGGTGAATGGGGTATGCATCTACAGACCTTTGATCCTGCGTTGAAGGCCTCGCATTGCTCCAACATCATGCTTATCCCGCTGTGTGTCCAGTGCGATCGGCTGTCTCTTCAGGAACATGTGGATGCTTGGGATGGCCGCATCGGGAGGCCGATATTGCATGGCATAGCCGAAACTGTTTACCTGGGCATTGACACCCCATGTGTTCGCATTCAGGGGACTCGCAATGCTGCCTGGCCGTCCATTCGGCCATCTCCTGTGATTGGGGCCACCGTTTGGCTACCAGGAGTCAATCTACTGGGCTCTTGTATGAAGTACTGTCATGAAATACGAACCTGACTCTATCGGGATTGCTCTGGAGACGACTGCACTCGCTACGCTATCGTGCATTGGCAAAACAGTGCCCTGCAACCTGCTGGATCGTCTGATGGCGCGCATCAGCTCATACCGGCCAGGCTCGATATCATGATGATGAGAATGTCACAATATGTTAGACCGTTTGACCTGAACCATACGTGCTTGGGTATCTTGCAGATGTTGCGGCTCATGAGCACAACATCGAACCCTTGAGACTCAAGCTAAGCCGTGCAGCTCGCTAGGTGGACCGGATTCCGCTGCGTGTTGATGAAATACTGCTCCTACTGCTTGTGCTACTACTACTACTACTACTACTACTACTACTACTACTACTACTACTACTACTACTACTACTACTACTAACTACTACTACTACTACTACTACTACTACTACTACTACTACTACTACTACTACTACTACTACTACTACTACTACTACTACTACTACTACTACTACTACTACTACTACTACTACTACTACTACTACTACTACTGCTACTACTGCTATGCTACTGCTACTGCTACTGCTACTGCTACTGCTACTGCTACTACTGCTACTACTACTACTACTACTACTACTACTACTACTACTACTACTACTACTACTACTACTACTACTACTACTACTACTACTACTACTACTACTACTACTACTACGACTACTACTTACTACTACTACTACTACTACTACTACTACTACTACTACTACTACTACTACTACTACGACTACTACTACTACTACTACTACTACTACTACTACTACGACTACGACTACTACTACTACTACTACTACTACTACTACTACTACTACTACTACTACTACTCCCTCCCACTCCCACTCCCACTTCCACTCCTATTACTACGTCTTCTTCTACCACTACTACTCCGACTGCCATTGCCACCGCTACAGCTACTGCTGCCGTTACTACCACTCCCACTACTACCAGACCGGTTATCCAGAATAAACTCAAAGGAAAAAGAGCTGTCAAGCCTGTGCCACCGCACTGCTTTGCGTGAGCCCGAAGCTTAAAACCACGAGCAACAAGCCCGAAGCTTGTCAATGCGAGCATCCGTCGGCTTCTGAGTCCCCAGCCCCAGGCCGTGACTTCTACCTAGTCAGACTCATGCTGGAGTAGACCCGACTGAACTCATGCTGTCTCTTCTCTGCACACATATTATGGACATGAAGGAAAACATACTGAGAAGTAGAGTTGCAAACAAACGGTATGGGTAAAGCGTGCGCATATGATACATGTGCACTTGCAACTGATGGTGCATATGCCGTATGCTGTGTTTTAGTCCTCCTGGATCACGAACATGCGGTGAGCACCTGCCCTCTACCCACTACCCTCCAAGACTTCTCCGAGCTGCATTGCAGTCCGTCGCATCTGCGACTCGCAGAGGGAAGCCTGGCGAGAACCGGCTCAAAGCACCCTTCGCATGTGCGTTTGGCAACTACAAGTAGCTTCGACCAAAGAGTTCGGGTCTGGCAGTGTAAATGTCACGAAGAAAAAGCTTGAGCAGTTGCTGACGCCAAGAGTAATAGAATTGTCATTCAGCTCTTCATCATACGGGGCTAGGAGGCTCTCCTTCAAGCCCTATCCGGCCGCTGGTGCTGAAATCTCACAGTTGGACATGGCCGAAGACTCCCAGGCAATCGGGCTCGAGGCCTCAGGCACAAAGCCCTCCTTATCCAAGCTTCCCTAAATCGAGGGTACAGGTACTCCAAGTCACTCTTTGCAAACGGAGACTGTGTTCTTACTAAACTTTACCCTTGAAGGCAAGCAAGTCTAAAGGGAAAAAGGATCATGCGCTGCTTCTGGTTCCGCCCGCCTCTTTGTCATGACGCCTGAAAAACCCCCTTGCAAATTCTGGAAGCGATGAAACTGGCCGGACTGGCGTGATCCCTCCCCCATGATGCGCTTGGCGACCTGCAACCTTGGGCATTGAGGCTCGTTGAAACTCAGGATTCGTGACGTAGGAATGGCGGACTTCAACAAACTGGACCAAAGCAAATGCTAAAGATGCTGGGAAATGACTTCCGTCTGCTTTTGGCACACATCCGTTTGCACGTCTCGTCAACGAGGACTGCCGTCTGATGGTGTGGTGAGCATGCGCTCTCGAAAACTGATGCGGCTGAATTAGCCAAAGAACCAAATTATGCGCGAATGATAATGCATCCTTCAAGATGGAAGGGGACGTGTCACCAGCAAGTTTGCAGCAGCAACATTGAGTAAATCGGACATATCAATACATCTTGACTTCATAGCATGAAAATTCTAGCTTGTTTCTGCATCTATACAGGCACTGTGTGCTGCGGCCTTTCATGGCCTCAAACCCAGGGGATGGCAAGTCCCCACACCTTTTGTGCAATTTCAAAGCCGGTTGGCAGCTGCCATGCAAACAACAGCACATTGATGCCATTGAGTGCGATGTGGGCATTGCGAGCACCGTCGTTGCCTTTCTCCATGTAAGGCACCAGGGCTGCCGCCAGCGCCCAGAGAACAACGATTGCCGCCCCTGCGAACAAGTGGGGTCCTGGGAAGAGTTTCTCTGCACGGAACCATGTGTTGAAGACCCCGTAGGTCGTGAAGAAGACGCCACCACCAAGGAGAATGGAGCTTACAGTGTAGTGCTTGTCTTTGTAGCCTGCCTGGACCATCTCCTTGCGCTCTGCGTCCAACTTGCTGATCTGCTCCTTCAAGGCTGTGACAGCAGGAGATTCTTCCTCTGGTGCCTCCTTGGGGAGCTTCTTTCGCAAGCCGCTCAGCTCGACACCCATCTCACGAGTTTGCCGCCACTGCCAACCGAGGAAGCCAGCGTACAGCGTCACAAAGAACAACGAGGCCATGATGATCGGGTGAACGAGGCTTGAAGCTTTTCCTTCCAAAGGACCCCACTGGCCGCCTTTGGCCCATGCTTCGCTTGGCATCAAAAGAGAGGCGGCTGCGATGCCGGCAGCGCTGTGCGAAGATCCGCGGGAGGTCCCTGGAGCTGGCACAAAGCTCTGTGATTGTGAGGGCCCCAGGACAACTGCGACTGCGGCCAAGGTGGCGAGGCCATGCAACCCTCGCCGTGCACGACGTCTCAGCGGGCTCGAGGCTGCCATCTGGACAAGGCGACTATTCGATTGGTCGAGCAGAGCACGCAAAGCTGCAGCACAAAGCTTGTATGTCCATGCCGAGATTACCAACAGCACGAAATAGCATCACGATCGTCGCACATTTGCCTCAGTTTGCAAAAACTTCTACCATAGATCCGGATCTCATCAACAAATGGCTGAGACTGAGAATCCCAGCATCTGAGGCGGAAGGCCCACCTCTTCAAAGCAGTAGGTGGCCTGCTGTGGGATCGTGACACAAAAAACGCATGATGTCGCAATGAAACTAACGCGGTGTGTGTGGATTGCAGAATCGTGCACAGAAACAAATGGGACTTGCACGCTAAAGCAAAATCAACACAAACATGGGCTAAGGATGAATATCCGTTGTATGCACCATGTTAAGGAAACATGAGCGCGACAGATCGCGCTTGTGGCCTTTCTTTGCACAGGCTGGTGGCCCAGCCTCGTATCCCTTGCTCCAGCGCCAGTCATCCACATGGCGTGGCCACATGTACGGAGCACCTGGACCACTCCACGCAAAGCTCCGGCTTCATTGAAAAACAGCGTGCGCGTTGACATGGTGACATAGGCTCCAAGGCGGTCGGGACTTCAATGGATGATGTGATGTTTGCATCTTCGGTTGCAACACTGTCTCCACATATGCATGTCAGCACGTGCGAGTAGATCTACACCAAGCGTCGCCCAGCATCAGGTCTGCTACGATTTCAGGAAATTTCTAAGCGCGGAACGGGCTCTCGATTGGGCACCTGGCAGCTCGTCAGCGAACTTTGTTGCTCTATCAACCCGTGCCCGCACTTCCGGTGCAGTGTCATCATGATGGTCAGCATATGTCTAAAAGTAACCGAAGTCACGGTCCCAAGGACCGTAGTCGTATGGTCGTTGTGACTGTCGATACTGATGTCCGCAACGACTGTGATAGCACCGCTCGTTGTCGTGGTTGTGGTGTCAATGGCGTCGTCGTAGAAGTACCGTAGTAGTCAGATTAACAGTGCTAGAAATAGAAATAGCCGCGGACATAGTAGTCGTGGTCGTGGTGGTCGTCGTCGTCGCGGTCGTTATTGTCTTAGTGATACCAGCACCAGTGGTAGTAGTAGTAGTAGTAGTAGTAGTAGTAGTAGTAGTAGGAGTAGTAGTAATAGTAGTAGTAGTAGTAGAAGTAGTAGTAGTAGTAGTAGTAGTAGTAGTAGTAGTAGTAGTAGTAGTAGTAGTAGTATAGTAGTCGTCGTAGTGGTAGTGGTAGTGGTAGTGGTAGTGGTAGTGGTAGTGGTAGTGGTAGTGGTAGTGGTAGTGGTAGTGGTAGTGGTAGTGGTAGTGGTAGTGGTAGTGGTAGTGGGAGTGGTAGTGGTAGTGGTAGTGGTAGTGGTAGTGGTAGTGGTAGTGGTAGTGGTAGTGGTAGTGGTAGTGGTAGTGGTAGTGGTAGTGGTAGTGGTAGTGGTAGTGGTAGTGGTAGTGGTAGTGGTAGTGGTAGTGGTAGCGGTAGCGGTAGTGGTAGCGGTAGCGGTAGTGGTAGTAGTAGTAGTAGTAGTAGTAGTAGTAGTAGTAGTAGTGGTCGTGGTAGTGGCCACTACCACTACCACTACCACTACGGATCGAGGACCTGTCTACAGGCACCTCCGCAATTGAACGCGACAACACGCGTCATGTGGACGGTGGAATCGGGTTGTGTACTAGGTTTGGGTTGCTAGGGATGGGACTAGGGAAGGGGCCTTTGTGTGATGACAGTAACTGCCGAGGGCTTTGGCATCACTCGCTCCCATCCCCCTCCCTTGTAGAACACCTTGTAGAACACCTGCATCCCGCCACGACCCTACCTGCAGCAGGAGATTTGGATGGCCAGACTGCTACTGGGAGCGACTCCCAGCACAGGCAGGACACCACGCGAGCTGTGGGAAGGACAGAGCCTACAGCACAAGGGCGAGCCAACGATCGTCGTAGGGTTCACGGGAGGCGCAACAGGGACCCGCCTCTGAACTACGAGGTGAGACATGCACCGGGTAGTGTATGTCTTACTCCGGGCTGCGACCGATGGACGCACAGTGGCACGCACAAGCATTGCTGCTCTATGTGCGGTCGAGGTGGACATACCAAGCGCTGTCAGACTCGAGCACTCGGCATAGATCGGGATGCCATCAAGATCTGTCTCACTGCAGGTTGCTCGGCGATGGTTGGGCAGGGACACACAACCTGCTGTAGCACATGCTGGCAGAGCAGTGGGCAGCAGCACTCGATCCGCTGTCATATCCGTAGCCTACGACTGGCAGGAGGGCTTAGCACACCTACCACTGACATGCAGGGCCCGTCGGTGGATTCAGGGAATGCGGTCACTACGAGTGCAGAGATGGTTGCGAGCGATGCTGGCAATGCAGCTGACGGCCAGATGATGCTAGACCTCACTTCTATGGACTAACTCTTTCGCGCAAGAGATTGAGGGCACGGACGAAGTGTCGAGTGTGGAGTCGCTGATACCAGAGGTTTTGGAGTTTATGTTATGAGGGTCCTCAACAGCAGGACGCAGCCTTGTTCTGAGGTGCCTCGGGACTTGAGCTGCCGAGTTTTGCCGAAGGCGAAACTTGCCTTTCGTCCATCATCGCGGATCGGTGAGACGAGTGCAATGCAATACCACTACCACTACGACGACTACTATAATACTACTACTACTACTACTACTACTACTACTACTACTACTACTACTACTACTACTACTACTACTACTACTACTACTACTACTACTACTACTACTTCTCCTACTGCTACTACTACTACTACTACGACTACTACTACTACTACTGCTGCTGCTACTACTACTACTCCTCGGCGATCATACACCTTGAATCCACAGAAAGGACAGGTTTGATTCTTGATAAGCTGAGGCGAATGACCCAGAGACGCCAACCAAGGTGCATGGCCTCATCAATGCATGCTTCAACCGGCTATGGGAGGAACCCTCCTTCCAGCGCCACTTCCCCACCAGGGTCGAGTTCAACCTGATCGCGACCTCCATCTCCAGAGTCTACAAGGAAGCAGCGAGATCGGCAGGTCTACAAGCGCGCATGTTTAAGGTGAAGGCCACCCGGGACTCCAACACCACCCTCCTGAAGATGAAGATCCACCATGACAAGGCAAGAAGCCTGCACCCAAGACGGCCACGGCCCCGGCCAAGCGCCCTCAAGCACGAGATGCAGACCAAGAAGGCAAACGCCCAGGAGACAGCACGCCTTCTTCCTTTTCTTCCAGCCAACGGGCCCGCCCTGCTCAGCCATCCTATGATGCTGATTGGGACTGGCAAAGGCAGCACTGGAGTTGGGGCGGCTACTCCATCAACACCCGCGGGCCACAGTCCCAATCAGTGATGGCGCCGCTTTCATAGGTCTTTTTGCCTAGAGGTTTTCAATTTCACTGTATCATATCCGCAGCCTGGCACCGCCACGCATGCATCCCACGTGGCACCGCCTCCGGGACCTAGAATGTAGCCTCTTCTGACCGCACTGCATTCTTTTCAGAAGTCAGAGCTCCACTGCACCTGAGCCTGGATGAAAACAGTCGGCTCGATGCACGAAGCCCAAATCTGGAAAGCAAGATTCTCTGAACAGTCGGCTGTTGGCCGTCACACTGCAGGTACCTCTGGATTCTGTCATACCCTTACGGCCCTTCGCTTGCAGCATGAGTTACCTAGTGTGGGACGCCACTAGACGGGAACTCAGGGTGCCGGCTTCTCTTTGGAGTACGCCCCAATTGCTGCAAGTGAGTGAGCAACGGACGCGCTAGCTCACTTCTGTGGTGTCGGAGGAGGCTGAAGAAATTTTTAAACTGCCACTTCTCTAGTAGAGTTGATTGCCTGAGAGGATAACTTGAGCGATGGATGCAGTAGCAAACGAGTCTCACGAGTGCACGGGAGCAAAGGCGCCCGCAAAGCGCAGAGCACGCTCGCGCAGCATTCAATTGAAAACAGTAGTAGTAGTAGTAGTAGTAGTAGTAGTAGTAGTAGTAGTAGTAGTAGTAGTAGTAGTAGTAGTAGTAGTAGTAGTAGTAGTAGTAGTAGTAGTAGTAGTAGTAGTAGTAGTAGTAGTAGTAGTAGTAGTAGTAGTAGTAGTAGTAGTAGTAGTAGTAGTAGTAGTAGTAGTAGTAGTAGTAGTAGTAGTAGTAGTAGTAGTAGTAGTAGTAAGTAGTAAGTAGTAGTAGTAGTAAGTAGTAGTAGTAGTAGTAGTAGTAGTAGTAGTAGTAGTAAGTAGTAGTAGTAAGTAGTAAGTAGTAAGTAGTAGTAGTAGTAGTAGTAGTAGTAGTAGTAGTAGTAATAGTAGTAGTAGTAGTAGTAGTAAGTAGTAAGTAGTAAGTAGTAAGTAGTAGTAGTAAGTAAGTAGTAAGTAGTAAGTAGTAGTAAGTAGTAAGTAGTAAGTAGTAAGTAGTAAAGTAGTAAGTAGTAAGTAAGTAAGTAGTAAGTAGTAGTAGTAGTAGTAAGTAGTAAGTAGTAAGTAGTAGTAGTAGTAGTAGTAGTAGTAGTAGTAGTAGTAGTAGTAGTAGTAGTAGTAGTAGTAGTAGTAGTAGTAGTAGTAGTAGTAGTAGTAGTAGTAGTAGTAGTAGTAGTAGTAGTAGTAGTAGTAGTAGTAGTAGTAGTAGTAGTAGTAGTACTACTAGTAGTAGTAGTAGTAGTAGTAGTAGTAGTAGTAGTAGTAGTAGTAGTAGTATTAGTAGCAGTAGCAGTAGCAGTAGCAGTAGCAGTAGCAGTAGCAGTAGCAGTAGCAGTAGCAGTAGCAGTAGCAGTAGCAGTAGCAGTAGCAGTAGTAGTAGGAGGAGTAGTAGTAGTAGTAGTAGTGGTGGTGGTCGTCGAACTAGTCGTACGAGTGGGGCGAATGGAATTGATACTAGTAGTAATTGCTAGTACGAGTACTGGAGCTGCTTGTCCTCAGGATGAGCAGACTATGTGCTTCCGAGGGACTTTGGGCATTGATCCCGAAGTTTGGGTTCGAACTTGGCGTCATGTTCGGCATTGTAGGCACGGTGCCCATATCGATGGGCACCGGCATGCCTCGGGCAGTTATCAAGATTTCACCACACCTGGTTGCTCAGGAACATGCTTGTCATTGCTTGTCGTCTGAAAGGGCAGTGTGAACCCGCCCGGGTGATTTAAGTGGAACATGTGCTGAAGCATTGTTCGCTTCTCCCTGAACGTCCTTTGACTCTGCGGGCTCGAGCAAAAAGGAACCATCCGCGGCCACAATTTCGAAGCTGAGGCAACAGCTTGGACAGCTTGGAGCCAGGGCATCTGCGGAGCCGAGAACGCGAGTAGGCGCAGTTCAGTTTGGTGTTCCGCGTTGCGGACGAGGACTTCATTCCCTTACTGAAGCTTGTGTAGGTAGAGGTCCAGGCTGCAAACTCTTTTGCCTTGCACAGTCGTGCGAGAGTTCTGGAGTTCCTGACGTGATGTAGGATAAGTGTCCGCTAGTTCTGAGACACCTAGGATGGGCTTGTACCCAAGTAGCAACTTATCATGTCGACGCTCTCATGACCAGCAGTCGTTCGCTGAAAGTATCCATGCGCCACTACTTTAATGGAACATAATACAGCCACACCTCGTGAAATTCTGCTAAGCCCCCACGAACACCGCGGAATCATCACCTAAATGAGGCACTGGCTCGCGAGGACAAGCTGCAGCTGCCTGCATCACAATCGCTGCTGTTCGCTTGTGTATGCCGGACCTACCCGAGTAGAACAACGTTTTGTCCTCTTGCTACAGCGTCTTTCAGGCAGAATGCCCAGTTTGAACAAAGAGGATTTCGGAGCGCCAAAAGCATTTCATGTGGCCGTATTGGATGAATACGCTGATGGGGCAATACAGTGCGGGGGTTTGGGGAGCCGCAGCCCCAAAATCTGACATGTTTTCCCTGGCTGGTCTTACACACATCGTTTGGAACGTGCTTCCGGAAAAGCGCAACCTCTAAAATTACAATACTACACTTACACAAGTCAAAACTTGAGCGGCAAGCATCAGTCTCCAAGGCGTGCAAAGCTTACAACGAAGTAGCCCCGGGGGAGACAAGGAGTAGCTGCCTTGGCCTTTTCGGAGCCACAGCCCGGCAAAAAGATGATATAAAAACTACCCCCGCGCGCTAGGAGCACCTCGCGATGCTCCTATGGCAAAAAAGGTACCATGCATCTGTGAGTCTTCGGCGCTTCAGTGCTACAACCTGCAGAAAATGATACAAAAACCTCAATCAGGCCTGTGAAATAAACCTTTCGATATAGGGCAGCCGATGCTGTAAACTGTAAACTCAATTTGCTTTTGCATGCTGCAACTTTTGCAAACCTACACTTCCGTTTCTTAACATTGGAAATGTTGTAATGTGCCACGTGTGCGTGTGCCCTAGAGCCCTAGAGTATGGATAAAGTTTGTGCTTCCGCATGATGGAAACGCTGTAACTGTAAACTTTGCCAACGCTCAAGCTCATGCCATACTTCTGCGATTTCGAGCACAGATCTATGTCTCGTCAACACGCAGTCAAACGCTGCCACCACGGAACTCCACACTTCTGCGAGCCCAAGCATTGACGAAGATTGCGATGTGGAGATTGGAAGATTGACGATGCCAGAGACAGAGTTGAGGACTTGGGAGATTCCTCTGTAGAAATTGAAACTTGAAAACTTCGGATTGCGACATGTTAAGTGGTGCGTTCATTGTCCCAGACAGTTCATCTGTCATTTGTCAATACGCAGGCATGCTTGCTGCTGCGTCTCGCTTCCAGTCTCGCGATGATTCCAGTTCACATGTCAAGCACAGTCGTGCACGCCAGTCAGCCAACCCAAGCCCTCAGGGTTTGGTGGTCGAAAGTCAAGACAGCAAACCACCTCAACCAGTTCATTCAATACTCCCCGTCTAGACTCCGCCAAATCCAACCTCCATGGCCTCGAGGTCCTCAGCCCCAAACCCGGCTCTCAACTTGAAAGGCTGATCGAGACATGAACCTGAACAACAGATCAGCTCCCTTTCCGACACATAAAGCTATGAGCGAACGGTAGCTTTGTTCGTCTGACCGCTTGTTGGCTCTACACTTCTATAATTGCCTGACGCCCCTGACAAGCGTGCATGGCACGCTCGGCAGCAGAGGCTTGAGCCGGTGGTGTTGCTACCGGCGCCACCGCGTCACCTGAAGCAAGAGAAGGCTGTCGCCCAGCCCTAGTTGAGCCTCGAGCTCTCGTGGACCTGTGTTGTTATGTAAACAACGAGAATATCTCAATTATGTTGCCGCTTGATCCAGCCGTCCGTTGCCGAGATTTAGATAAAAGAGCGTGCACGAACATGCATACAAACCCAAACACAAGAAACACAACAAAACTGGAAAGTAGACAGAGTGTCAGGCAGGCAGGCAATCAAACAAACCAACAGAACAGAGAGACATGCCTGGATTATATATATATATATATATATATATACATGTATGTGTATATATATATAAATATGATAGAGGCATGCAGGTATGTACTTATGTATATACAGATATATATATGTGCATATACGTAAAAACATATATACATATATATATATATATATACATATATATGTACATATATACATATATCTTTTTAATTACCCATAATATAATATAATATATATATATATATATATATATATATATATATATATATATATATATTAGTTATGTATACCTAATATTATATGTATATATATATATATATATATCCACCGTATACAGACATCAACATGGTGGCGTCTTCCATGCGACTTCTGGCATCGAAAACAAAACACTGATGTTGTTGTTGACCATGGTGCTTACGATGGCGGTGATGGCGATGGTGGTAACGACGATGCTCGGCTTGGTGCCAGCGGTTATGTTGATGAACACGAAGGTAAGATGATACTTTTGGTGCCAACGTATCCCGGCAAAAGGAAAAGCATTCACGAAACAGAACACACAATCATTCTCTTTCAATAATTTGACCGGCCCCGCAAGGCTAAAATGGCTGGCTTCGAATACAGAGCCGAAGCTGATGCTGCCAAGCTTAAACGCCTTGCACGTGATACAAAGTGCGACCACGCCGCCGTCGTCCCAGCGCGTCTTGCGCCTGCATGCAGGAATGACAGCTTTGAGCAGTCTCCAGAAAGTCACCAAACGAGAGCACCGTCACCCCGACTGTCGCCACTACAGTGGCTACTGCAGCAACTACGAGTGGTGATTAGAAGGATGACAACAACCGCTTAACAGTCAGCACCATTGCCGAGGTTGCTCCTTGTCGGTCTTATGGCTACCTACTCGGGCGTCTTTCGGAGATCGTATCTGCTGTCTCTCGAGTTATCGTCATGTGTGGGCGGTCCTCAAGCCATGAGACCCTGGGCCCCTCTGCGTTTGCACTGTTGAAGCCACACGAATGTACTTGCGTAGAGCTTCCTCTTGCAGTAACGCACACGGAGTTCAAGCGATGTTGTCGCGATGTGCCGCAGGGCTTTCACTTCTTTCCTGCTAGAACATGCAGTTTTCACGACACTGCGCAACATGTCGTCGAACCATGCATCAATCAACAGGTGGCAGCTCACGTATGACTAAAGTGCTTCTAAACCTGTCAGAGATGAACGCCGAGGCGGTCGAGTCGCGAATTCATCGAACGAGTTAGGAACTGGAAGGTTCAACCCCCCCAGCAACGAATAGGTAAACCAGTAAAGCAACTCCCTCCGCAAGGTATCGAAGTGCTGCATTTGTCCGGATAGAAGGCTCAGACAACAGAACATTCCATAGCACGTGAGGTTCAAGCCTGCATCATCCCCGCCGCGAAACACATTTACTACCATCTGGTTCTTCCCGGAATGGTAAGGAATGCTACAATAAAGGTCTGTCATGATTCTTGACTGGAAGTTTGGCTCCTTTGATGCCACTGCTACACAGCTCTCTGCGACCGCAGTGCCCACCAGTCCACCACCAGCGAACATCATCGAATGCACTCGCACGATGGCAAATCAGAATGGAACGCAGGCCGACCGGGCCCGACCCGACTTAAACTTTTTGATGACGCTCAGCCCGAACGTAGCCTTGCCTTTTCGGTGGCGGATCTGTCTGCTGCGGGGGTGGCTCCGGCATCCCCACCCCGATCCTGGCATCGGACACAGCCTAATTCACGTTGAGCGTCTCTCAAACACGCTTCGCTGTGTTTCAGGATTCAAGATTCCATCTTAAAGGTTTTCGGCTTCCTGCTCCAGGTTTCAGTAGACTTTAGGGGGATAAAATGTTAGAGGCTGCTGGTCCTAACAGGACTTCTCTGGAATTTGAAAGCCTGTCGATGACACGAATGCATCTCTGCCGACACCCCAACAAGCCCTAACCTGAAACACATACGACATATGATCGCGGGTGGCCACCGTCTCCAAGGGAGACAAAGGGACACAACGGGAGACCAGCACGAAAACCACTGCATTGCCCCCGCCCCCATCGGTCCCAACCAAACAAAGAAGCCAGCCACACGAAGGAAGACGCTGCGAGACAAGCCCCGAAAACCCCGCCACCGGCCCGAAATAAAGGAGACAAGGGGAGACAAGAGGCCAAAATTAAGGGAGAGACAAGAGCTCACACGAAGGGATGCAAGGCGAGACAAGTGCCGAAAACACAGGCACTGGCCAACCTCAGGAGATAGGGAGACAGGCGTGGAAAGCTCCGCCATGCGCCGCACGCTGTCGCACGCTGTCACACGTCTCATGTGAAAGGGGCAAGCACGGGGAGACAAGAGCTCAACGGAAGAGAGAGACAACGAGAGACAAGCAAAGAAAATCACGGCTTTGTCCACCCCTACCGATCCCAAATGAAAGGGGACAAGGGGGACAAGCTTCCACCGGCATGGACCACCCCCACACCCGTCCCAACTGCATGGAGACAACGCAGACACAGGGCAAAGGAAAGGAGACAAGGGGAGGCAAGCATCGAAAGCCCAGCAGTGACCACCCGGCAATATCTTTGAATCAACAAGAACCTTTGTAGTAAACTGTTTGGTAAAAGTTGAGAAGCTTGAGAAGCTCCGTCTGCTTCAAAAGGAAGCCTCCTTCTTGGCAAGCTTGCGACCCTGAAGCCGACCCCATCCCGAAAAGTCCATTCCAAAAACCCTAAGATTTGCTGAACCGCTGCAGCTCGGAAACGGTACCTAATTTGTGTGCACGACGGAAAGCCTTGATACACTGATTAACTTCGAAGTGACTAAACACAGACGACATTCTGAAACCTTAAACAAGCCTCAACAGTAGCATAGATTTCCCAAACCCCGTAAGCGACAGCCAGAGGAGCTCTGCGCCGATGGAACCTTGCTTGCGAGATGCGCATCAGAGCAGAACCCTAGGCAATAGCAGCTTCAATGCCCACACACACCTGATGCTCTCCCGAGCATCCCCATCCCGAGCCCTGAATGAGACAGATACACTTTTTGTCGGCTTCGGCTGGTATGGTTTTTGGGGGGTAAAGCCGCATATCTCCCGGTTTGCTGGCCAGACCCCGCCGTGGCCGTCGGGGCCACGACTCAGCAGGGATTTGGCCGCGAGATTCGCAGCCTGATGGCAGTCGCACAACACAACGGCCTAGACACCTCGCAGCACGGATGCCAACACATACAGCCCGTCTACACGACTAGGCCACACGATGCCATCTCTAGGTAAACCAACCCTGTAGCCCACAGACTACCTGAGCACATCTGATGGAGACGTCGGATGGTTTTGACTCCGGAAGGCTCTGGAAGTGTCCTTGACAGCTTTCTGCCACGCATGGTGAATCGACGAACCAAGCTACGCTTGTCTGCGGCGCTTGCAAGGCTGCTCTGGACCATCTTGGCTCTCGCTTCTGCGTTCTTCGCCCTCCGGGGCGTCCAGATCAGACGACGAGGTCACGCACTGCCCGCACTGCAGTCCGGCATCTCTGAAAAGCTGTACAACTTCGGAGTGTCCTCGCGTGGCTGCTTCGAGGCATGGAGCCATCTCAAGAGGAACCCCAGCAACGATGAGGCACTGAACGATAGGCGCATGGCCGCGAGCAGCAGCTGCCCAGAGAGGGGTCACTCCAGCGGCATCCGCCAACTCTTTGTCTGCCTTCGATCGAAGAAGGCAGCGGACGGCGTCAGTGCTTCCACGCGCGCAGGCATTCAGTAAAGGAGTGAAGCGGCTTCCGTTTCTCTGATCATTCACGGTCGCGCCAGCAGCAATCAAATACTCGATGACAGGGACATGGCCTTCGGCTGCAGCAGCACAGAGAGGCGTACCGCCATGACAATCTGCCTCCTCCTTTGCCGCTCCTGCTTCCACCAGGCACCGAACCACCTCGATGTTACCACGTGCAGCGGCTGCCCATAAGGGAGTTACTCCTTCCGGTGCGTCCTTCTTGTCCTTGTCCGCACCACCACGGATGAGACACTCGACAATCTCGACTTCGCCACGTGCTGCTGCAACCCACAGAGGAGTGATACCATGGCCATCAGGCCTGTCGACGTCTGCCGCTGCGTTGATCAAGCACTGCACCATCGCCGCATCTCTTTTTGCAACAGCAATCAGCAGAGGCGTGAGCCTGGTAGAGTCCATCGTCTCTTTGTCTGCACCCGCCTGCACCAGAAAGTGTACTGCCTCGAGGTTGTCACGTACCACAGCAGCCAGCAGAGGAGTCACACCCTCTGCATCACTTCGATTCACGTCGGCCCGGGCAGCAAGCAGACAGCCCATGATATCGGTGTTGTTTCGCATCGCGGCCGCCATCACAGGAGTTACACCTTCCACATCGCATCGGTTCACGTCTGCCCTGGTCTCCACCAAGCAACGCACGACCTCCACGTTGCCTGCCCCAGCTGCAATCCGGAGCGGGCTAGCATCTGCAGCATTCATCATTTCTTTGCTTGCCCCCCCTTCAAGAAGGAACTTCACCACATCCAGGTGGCCCTCTGCGGCGGCACTCACCAAGGGAGTGTTTCCGACGGAATCTGCCTGGTCCAGGTTGGCACTGGCCTCGACTAGGCAGCGAAGGACCTCCAGATGGCCGTGTGAAGCCGCGTGGAGCAGAGGAGATCGCCCATCCGAAGGCCCCACATTGGGATCCTGAAGGAACAAAGTCAAACGTGAGAGGAAGTCTGTTGAAACTTTCTTTAACTTTGTTCGCTACATCTCGAAGTCTGCGTCCGAAATCGCCACACCAGCCGTAGACCAAAGCTCCCAAAGGATCCTGAAACGCGCTTCTCTCTCCAAGTCCTGCGGCAGCTCCAGGAGGCGCCGCACCTTGGGGAGGGAGCTGAATGCTGCGAAGGGAGTTGCAAGTCTGTTTGTAGGCACTCAGCCTGTAGCCTGAATTGCCTGACCCGCACTGCACAAAGCTACAACCACCATCATGCTACCGTCTCACTGACACTCAAGAACTGCAATATGCCCGATGCCTTCAGAATGCAGCAAACACATGTGATCCTGGTCACATCTTCCCGATAACCCAGGGCTCCACATCTCGATTCTGGACAATGCCAACCCATGTAATGGAAACTCAATTTGCCACAGCCTGCAGCATTGCAGTCACCGCAGCCCGAACCACTTCGGATGCAAAATTCCTCTCAAAACATCAGACCGCGAAGAGACCGCAGCCCAAGTGACCACGGGGCCAACTGAGTACGCTGGAGTTGAACCGCCCAATCCTCCCGACCGGCCGGGCCTCGCTTACTTCGCCCTGCGCAGCTGCGGCACAAAGCTGGGCCGCGTGGTCCTTCCACACAGATCGATGCTTCTGAAGCACAGGGTGCCGAAAGCAAAAAGCTTGCTGAAGATTTGGCGTGCAAGAGTTCGCGCGCAGAAGAAGTGAAAGTCGTTACGGGCTTTGCGAATCCGGATCCAAGCTGCTTAGCGTATTCAAAGCCCCAAGCATTAAGCGTCAACATGAAAAACGGCACAGGAACCTGCCCACACCCTGGAACCGACGAATCAGCCCCGAAGAAAAGCCCTACGGCTTGGTCTTCAAAGTTGAACCCAGCCTCTACACCTTGAGCTTTAGTCCGGAAATCACCATTTCTCCTGACAGTGCGGTAACACCAAGACCTGGCGGAAGGTGGAGCTGTCGAATGCTGGCTAGTGCCAATATGTGCCGGGGCGCTGTAAGAAGCTGGGCCTTTTGGGCTTGAGGCTTCTCGGCGGGCTCCCGACCGTGGGCTCTACAAGATTGGTGGCAAGGGATACTTTAGGTTGTGGTGTCCAAGAGGCACCGAACCCTAAGCTCTTTCACAGGTGGTCAGAGTCAACTGTGTGCAGTCCGTGGTGGGTTGGAGGTGGAGCGAAACTCGCGACAACTCGGCTAAAGGCACGTGCGGTGACAACAAGACTCGACACACTGATGTCTTGGGGGGCACCTCGGCAAGAGCATTTTCGTAAAGGGTTCCGACGCTGAGATCGCTGACTTCGAGATCACTGTCCTGTGCCACTACTGCTTTCACTGGCACAATGGTCAGGGCCAGATTCTCTGTTCAAGGCCCAGAGTGGCGAACAACTCGGTCCAAGGACAACAGGATCTACACTCTACAGGTTGTGAGCCCGTGCAGCTTTACAGGCCACGATCGTGGCCGCACGGCTTCCGTGCATTTCGTAAGGTCCCGAATTAAGGTACGTCCCGTGTAATTGAAATTGGACGATCTCGCTGGAAGGCCGCAAGCACATGACCGTGGTGGGGCCTTCTTAGGCTGTTGAGAACAAGACGACAGCTGCCAAGCAGATCACACCTTAACATCAATCGTGCCTGGTCCGATTGGCTTGTTGGCTGACTTGTGGCCATACTGTGGGCAACATGAACAACAAAAGCAAAGCAGCAAGCCCGCGGTCACCATTGCAAAAGTCACGGCGAAGAAGAGGAAGAGGCAAACCATCGCGTCCATGCCGGTCCCCGCAAGAAAGTCTGAAGCGACGCTCCATTCTTGCGAGCCGCCACTGCCAACGTCACCACAGAAGCCTGTAATATCGAACTCGCAAGGAGCTCCATCTCCTAGACAGCGGCAAAGTGAGCCGCCGTCCCACTCGCACCTGGTACATGCAGGGCCATCATCACGCAGCATCGTCAACATGTCGTCACACCGGCAATGTTGGTGGCACTCGCAGTCCCGGGCAGAGGCGGGTCGGAGCAGCAACAGTGGTAGTGGCAGTGGTAGTAGAAGTGGTGGTGGTAGTGGAAGTGGAAGTGCTGGTGCTGGTGCTTGTGCTAGTGGTGGCGGTAGTGGTGGTAGTATTGGTGCTAGCACTAGTAGTGGTGGTGGCAGTACAGGCACCAGTAGTCGTGCAGGTATTAAGTAGTAGTAGTAGTAGTAGTAGTAGTAGTAGTAGTAGTAGTAGTAGTAGTAGTAGTAGTAGTAGTAGTAGTAGTAGTAGTAGTAGTAGTAGTAGTAGTAGTAGTAGTAGTAGTAGTAGTAGTAGTAGTAGTAGTAGTAGCAGTAGTAGTAGTAGTAGTAGTAGTAGTAGTAGTAGTAGTAGCAGTAGTAGCAGAACTTGTTGGCGTTGTTGTTGTAGCAGTTAGCAGTACTGGCAGCAGTAGTAGTAGTTGTTGTTGTTGTTGTAATAATCGTACTGCAGGTACTAGTAGTAGTAGTAGTAGTAGTAGTAGTAGTAGTAGTAGTAGTAGTAGTAGTAGTAGCAGTAGCAGTAGCAGTAGCAGTAGCATTAGCAGTAGCATTAGCAGTAGCAGTAACACTGATCGTGGTAGTGGTAGTGGTCGATGTCGGTGTAGTGGCAGTGGTCGTGGTACTGGTACTGGTCGTGGCACTGATAATAGTAGGAGTCGTAGTAGCAGCAGCAGCAGCAGTAGCAGCAGAAGGAGTAGTAGCAGTAGCAGTAGCAGCAGCAGTAGCAGTAGCGGTAGCGGCAGCGGTAGCAGCAGCAGCAGCAGCAGCAGCAGTAGCAGTAGCAGCAGCAGCAGCAGCAGCAGGCAGTAGTAGCAGTAGCAGTAGCAGTAGCAGTAGCAGTAGCAGTCGCAGTCGCAGTCGCAGTCGCAGTCGCTGTCGCAGTCGGAGTAGGAGTAGGAGTAGGAATAGGAGTAGGAGGAGTAGAAGGAGTAGTGGTAGTAGCAGTAGTAGTAGTAGTAGTAGTAGCAGTAGTAGTAGTAGTAGTAGTGGTAGTAGTAGTAGTAGCAGGTAGAAGGTAGTAGCTAGTAGCTAGTAGGTAGTAGGTAGTAGCTAGTAGGTAGTAGGTAGTAGGTACTAGGTAGTAGGTGCTAGGTAGTAGGCAGTAGGTAGTAGGTAGTGGCTTGTAGGTAGTAGGTAATAGGCAGTAGGTAGTAGGCAGTAGGTAGAAGGAGGGAGGTAGTAGGTAGTAGGTGAAGTAGTAGTAGCAGCAGCAGTAGTAGTGATAGTAGCAGCTAGTCGTGCTAGTCGTAGTAGTAGTTGTCGGCGCAGTAGTAGTTGTCGTCCTAGTTGTTGTTGTGGTGGTGGTAGTAGTAGTAATGATAGTAGTAGCAGCAGCATTTCGGAAGTTGCGGTAGCAGTAGCAGTAGCAGCAGTAGTAGCAGTAGTAGCAGTAGTGGCAGTAGTAGCAGTAGTGGCAGTAGTAGCAGTAGTAGGAGTAGTAGCAGCAGTAGCAGCAGTAGCAGTAGTAGCAGCTGTAGCATCAGTAGTAGCCGCAGGAGCAGCAGTAACAGCAGCGGTAGTAATAGCAACGGCAGCTACAGCTGCTTACGACTGTTAGTCGCCGCCGTTGCGGTAGTAGTGGCAGTCGTAGTGGCAATGCTGGCTACTAGAGCACCTGCAGGCATTGCTTTCATAATACTGCTGCTAGCAGCAGGATTAGTAGCTGCGCATCAGCAGTGCTACGTCGGTTGCAGTGGTGCTGGAGGCTTCTGATAGCGGGCACTGGTTTTCAAGGTAATGCAGGTACAGCTGTTGACGATGCTGTTAGTGCTGCGAGTATGCGACTATGCTTGCTTGTAGGCTGGATATCACTATTGTTGAATCACCAGTGCTGTTCTAGATTTCAGGGCAAGTCACGGGCCACCACAACTCGTCAAGGAGTTTGCCTTTGCTGCCATGCAGCAGCCGAGCTCCATTCCGGTTACCTCCAGCGGCAGGTCCTTAAGACCAAGTGCTTACGGTTGGGGTCAAGAAAGCTTGTGGCTCCAAGGCTTCTAGCTGTGGATCGCAGCAAGTTATTCTTACCTCTACTCGTACTGCAGAAGTCGATGGCTAATGGAGGCACAGCATTACAGACACTTCCCTTTCGAGACAGCCTCAGCCTGCAATGCAATGTATGGGTGTATGGTCAGGCGTCTGGCATTCCCGGCCCTCCCCCGATGGCATGGTCTGGTAGGGATGGGGGGGCGGGGGTGGCGTGTGCGGAAAGGGTGGGGGCCGTTGGAGCTGCGTGGGGCGGTGCTGCGGGGCGGCCAGGGCTCACACGCAAGCCCTTCACAAGCTGTAAACCCTACAACGTAGCGCGTGCTCCGGTTTTGCTTAGCCTTAACCTGTACTTTAAACCCTACACCCAACCCTAAACCCGCCCAAATGCAGGCTCTAAGCCCAAAGCCGAACATACAACGTAAATCCTCCCTAAGCTCTTGTCGACCGTAAACCCAGAACTCAAAAGCATAAGCTAAACCCGAAACCCCAAAACCCCACAACCACCCCACCGGGGGAAGAGGGACCCCACACCCGACACCACAGGGAGGGGGGGCCTCACCCCATATTCGCACCGTTGACCTTTGGGGGGGGGGGGGCCGCTGAGCGCGTGACCATATATGACCTCGAGCCTGGCCTATGCCAAAACTGGCAGAGAAGCCGCATTCGTAACCAAAAAAGAAAGGAGACCTTAGAAAGCCTTCAAGCGGAGGCAGGTGTCGCTGCTGGCCACCTCAGCCAGCAACACATGGATAAAGACGAAGAGGGCGGAGGCCATGGCGCGGGGGCTTCTGAGTCTAGGAGAAGCCAACTCCAGCCCGCTGAAGCCAAATACGGGAGCGTGGAGCTTCGGATTCCCGAGCGCTTAAACAGACACTGAGCCCTGAAACATCCTGAAATGCACATGTAGCTTAGCCTTGCAGCATCTTGAGACAGGTAGGGCCATAGGAGTCGGAGGAGATCTCGCTGGGTCGCTCCATCCGAACCCGAAGCTTCCCAGTGCACCTGTAGAGTTTCAGCAGAAGCCCCAGGCACAGAGAGCCTGAGTTTGACAATTAACACAAGAGCTGGGAAGCCGGGTTCCTGACTTAGGTTTAAGTGTGGATGATTTGGTTTAACAATCCAGCCTTGGAAAGCATGAAGCCTAGATGCAGCCAGATATGTGGGCTTGAGAGCTCGTGTGGTGGGGCGTCGGGCTTGCTACCGGGAAGATCAATGTTCATAGCTCCAAGAGTACAGGGCTTGGGACTTCGGGCCAAACCGTCAAGGCCCTAAGCCGACATACTAGACCGAACAGCCAAATGAGATGTGAACCCTGACTATGGCTCTGGTAGGGCCCTTCTGCCATGACCTCTGAACCTCCACCCAGCAGCAGCCGCTGTTGGAAGGTCGTTGCCTCAGTGCTACGCGGACCATGACCAGATACTGGGAACAGCACAACGGTTATCGACAACGGCCAAAGTCATCATCAACGTCAGCATAACGGCTATCGCAACCATCCTGTACGGCACTTTGCTAGCTGCTAGTAACTAGTACTTACAATGGGTGTTGCTGGTTCTGCCGCTCCCATCATGCATTTTACAGTAGTATGGGAAGACGTAGTTGCATGATTCAACGCGGCCAGCCTCAGCCTTCTAGACAGTTGAGCGCCCCGACTTGTAACATCAGGATAAACGATCTCCTTCCACAGCTGAAAACTCATCTATGGCCAACGTTCAGCAACAAAAGCCTCCGGCAAGAAACGTCCAAAGCTAGGAAGACCCAGAGGAACTGCCAAGAACCTTCACCGAACTCAACCATTAGTCAAGCCTGTATCCCTGGCAGCGCTTGGCCTTGAGGAGAGGTCTCAGGAAGTCCTTCAGTATCCGTCACAACGACAGCGGTCTTCGTCTTACCACCAAAGCTACCGCTATGACATAACAGAACCGACAATTTCAGGAGGAGTACCCGTGCCTGTAGGAAAAGGTGCCGACGAGAGGATTCGCGACAAGGAAACGTGCATCAGATGAAGGCAATGTCACAAGTACAAGCACGCCTACTCCTACTCCGACTCATCTTCCTACTGCCACTGCCACTGCAGCTGCTTCTGCTACTCCACCACGATCACTACCACTCGTAGAAGATTACGACCACCAGCAACACCACTATAAACTGTCCTACCACTACCACCAGCACCACCACAACGACCACTACTGCTACGCAAGTTGCGTTTCCCGGCCGAGGTGATCATCGTGATACTGATGACTTCAGTTTGCGTGCGGGTGTGTGTGCAGGTGTGTGCGGGTGATTTCAGGTGTGTGCGAGTGTGCGCGGGGTGAGTGCGGGGTGTCTGTGGAGCGTGCGCGGGTGTGCGCGGATGTTCGCGGGTGTGCGCGAGCGTGCGCGTGTGTTCGCGGGTGTGCGTTGGGTGTGCGTGGGTGTGGGTGGGTGGGTTTGCGTGTGAGTATTGTAATAGTACGGGAGTAGGTCTGCGTGGTCTGCGTGGGTCTGCGTGGGTCTGCGTGGGTCTGCGTGGGTCTGCGTGGGTGTGCGTGGGTGTGTGTGGGTGTGCGTGGGTGTGCGCGTGGCCGTGCGTGGGTGTGCGCGTGGCTGTGCGTGGGTGTGCGCGTGGGTGTGCGTGGGTGTGCGTGGGTTGCGTCGGTGTGGGTGTGGGTGTGGGTGTGGGTGGGTCTGCGTCTCCGGGTGCCTCTCTCCCGTCTCTCTCCGTGTCTCTCTCCATGTCTCTCTCAGTGTCTCTCTCCGCGTCTCTCTCTCTGTGTCTCTCTCTGTGTCTCTCTGTTTCTGTCTGTGTATTTCTCTGTGCATTTCTCTGTGTCTCTGTCCTCGTCTTTCTCTCTCGCTCTCCCTGCGTTTTTCTCCCTCTGCGTCTCTCTCTGCGTCCCTGTCTCCCGCGTCTCCCATGTCTCCCGTGTCTCCTTTCTTTTTGTCGGTGTGTCTGTGTCTCTGCCTGTGTTTGTCTGTCTCTGTCTGTTTTTGTCTGGCTCTGTCTGTTTTTGTCTGCCTGTCTGTCTCTCTGTCTATCTGTCTGTCTGTCTGTCTGTCTGTCTGTCTGTTTGTCTGTCTCTGTCTGTCTCTGTTTGTCTGTCTCTGTCTCTGTCTGTCTGTCTCTGTCTGTCTGTCTGTCTCTGTCTGCCTGTCTGCCTCTGTCTGTCTCTGTCTGTCTCTGTCTGTCTCTGTCTGTCTCTGTCTGTCTCTGTCTGTCTCTGTCTGTCTCTGTCTCTGTCTGCTGTCCCTGTCCCTGTCTGTGTCTCTGTCTCCGTCCGTGTCTGTCTGCGTCTGTCTGTGTCTGTCTGTCTCTGTCTGTCTCTGTCTGTCTGTCTCTGTCTGTCTCTGTCTGTCTCTGTTTGTTTTTGTCTGTCTCTGTCTGTGTCTGTGTCTGTGTCTCTGTGTCTCCGTGTCTCTATCTCTATCTCTGTCTCTGTCTCTGTTTGTCTCTGTTTGTCTCTGTTTGTCTCTGTTTGTCTCTGTCTGTCTCTGTCTGTCTCTGTCTGTCTCTGTCTGTCTCTGTCTGTCTCTGTCTGTCTCTGTCTGTCTCTGTCTGTCTCTGTCTGTCTCTGTCTGTCTCTGTCTGTCTCTGTCTGTCTGTCTGTCTGTCTGTCTGTCTGTCTGTCTGTCTGTCTGTCTGGGTGTCGCGAGCTTCTTTCCGACTGTCTTGATCTCTAGTGCGATTTGCATCACTATCACACTTAGGATGCCTCATTTGCATACGGTTGGCTTTGCATGTTGCAGACCTGGCGATGGCTACTAGCACGATGGACCGCTGCTTATGAAATATTTCTAGGTTCAGGCAATCGGACTGTCTGGGCATCCATGTTCTGTCCTTGATCGCCTGCACGAAATCCTCCGCGGAGGAGGCAATTCCTGAGCTGTCGACTCTCGCAAGCATCCATCCTACCACCCAAATAGCGATGCCAATGGAGCTTCGTGGGTGGTAAGAATGGCCTCACACCACCGGTCGACCAAGTCTACAGTCATTAAAGCTGCAGGTGTGCTTCATGAGGATACTGAGCTGCATTAACAAGCACGCTTGCTGGCTGAAGCTATATCATAACTTCCGCCAGAAGCTCCTTAGAGCTACGACGACATGTTCGTGGCGGGACGCGCTGAAGTTCTTCTGCATCGAGCGTGGCGACGACATTGCCAGACAAAGCCACGATGCGAAGCATCGGATGGGGCATCGGATGGGCAGGTACTGGGCAGCACCCAACAGACAACCCTCGGCCCTCCCACTGGAGCTCCTCAGGAAGCCATGACGGCCCCAAGCCCCAGGCCTTAAACTGGTCAGAAATCATAAACTCCACGGCGCTTTGAGCGAAATCACAGTCCGACCCGAGAAATAAAACCTCACCTTCATTCTCTTACAAACCCTTGAGCCAGAGCTTCATGACAAAAGTTTACAGTAGTGCTGTGAGATCAGACTTGCAGTACTCAGTACCTGCGGATTCTCTTTCAACTTTTCTGAACGGTTCCTTCAACTTGCCCCAGCGGATTCCCTGAACCGAAAATCCTAAAACACTAACCCCCAAACCCTAAATCTTAAACAGCTGTAGAAGGAACCGGAGTTGAAAGAATGTTGGTTGATAGAAACGCCAGAAGTTGATGAATACCTCCCTAGAACTTGTTCCCTCCCTACTTCACGCCGTTCTGCGAAAGAAGCCAGTGGTTTCACGAGCTGAGCGCAGTGTGCTCCTAGTATGCTTCCAAGCGCTCCCAAGCCCGAGAGTCTCACAAAGGAGCTGAAGCAAGAAGTACTTGAAGCACAAAACTCACAAGCTTTACACCCCGAAACCCACACGCCCCCACAACGAAATCTCAGCCCAAAGGACGTTTGATTTCACCCTGCAAACAGCACAGCTGCTGCCGCCTCCTCCAGATTCATGCTGGGCTCTGGCGCAGCCTCGGGCGCTGCACCTTTGTCCGCTCTTGCAGCTCAGAATTTCAGCTTGCACCTTGACAGTGTAGAACTGGGAGAGTTGTGGCTGCGACGACCAGTGCTACTACCACCACTGCTACCGCAACTAGCACCACCAACACGACTACCACTTCATCGCGCCAATGACCGAAGTTACAGCTGGTGTTGCAATAGTGGTAGTGGTGGCAGTCGTAATGAGCCACTGGCGGGATGACGAGCATGGGCAATACACGTTTGTGTGGGGTCATGTCTCGATACGTGCTGAGTGCCAGGCTCTCGATGCGCCCTTGGGTGCTGCTCCCAGTGTCTTTCCGCAGAATCTTGGCAACCAAAGCAATCCGGAGAGTAAGGGCCGAGAGATCAGATTCTGCAAGGTAACGAGGTTCTTTAGAAGGAAGCCTGAGGTCTGAAAACATAGGGTGCGACTGTCAAAACTGCCAACTTCCACACACGTCAAGGGGAAAGCGAGTGTCTCACGGCAAATGCGTGACCTATATCTGATGAAGAGAAGCTTACTGCTGAAAATGGCCTGTCTTGGCTTTATGCTGCGCGTGCGTTCAAGTGTCATCATGGGCTAAGGGCTCGGTGTCTGGATTCGCATTGGGCAAGGTTCTTCCGAATCGTGAAACTGGGAAGTGCCGAAGCAGCCTGGAGCCGGAGGCTGACTTCAATCGCTAGCATTCACAAAACTTTTTCACGAACTCGCGTGGCAA